AATGGTGGGGTGGGGGTTGGGGGGGTGGGGGGGATCAAAAGGTAAAAAAAGAAAGGCTATTGTGTTATAGCCATTATACAACTGGGTCTCTTTGTCAGCTGTTGCCTATCCAAACTCTCACAATGAGATGCACCTTAAAACGGTTAAGTAACAGACTCAAGACGGCACAGCAATGCAGTGATTTGGTCATGGCTTTTTCTAAGATCCAAACTCCAAACCACTGGTCTGCAAAGTGGAGCCCAAGAGAACCCAGTGTTCGAGAGGACAGGGTTTAAATATGAAAACTCTACTAATGTTTTGTATTTTGCATAGTTTTTAGATGTATGCATTGCACCGGCACAGCTGTATACAGACATAATCTATCAATAAAGGTATGTACCTCTTTTGGTGATATGTGTCTGAAGTTCTGTACCGATGGGCAAACTGGTGAAAGAGCTGGGCTGAGTGGTCCTCGCTGGGAAGGGGAGGTAGACGCTCGGCGGTGGTTTTGCCCCCGTGGTCCAGGAGCCGTGGCTCGGGCTTCCTTATGAATCGCTATTTGTCAGCAGGCTCTTCGATCCTGTCTGTAACACTGTGAGCCTTGCTTGCGCGTGTGCTCATTTGGGCTCACGCCTGTGCTTCTGCGAAAGCGATCCCCCTGCAGCACTGAACCTGACCTTGCTGACACACGTAGGTTCCTCGTGGGCCGCACTGCTACAAATCCTTGCAATTCTTCTGAGTTTCTTACGTGCTGCCCGGCCTCTTCGTGGTCAAGAGCTCCAAACGGGCACCTGGAAGTCACGGCCGTCCTGTTTGCTCTTCTGCCCCAGGCTTCAGCTTTAGGGGACTTTTCCAGTCATCGTTGCCTAAGAAACTACCCCAAAACTCAGGGTCCTAAAACAACATTTATTTTACTCTGCAGTCGGGCAAGGCCGGGTGGAGGAAGCTGGTCTCTGCTCTACTCGGCTTCAGTGAGGATGGTCTGGAGCTGGTGACTGGAATCCTCTGACGGTGCATGTACGTGTTTGGTGGTTAATGCTGGGCTGTCAGCGAGTCTAACGCTACAGCAGCGACACGTGGCCTCCCCATGTGGCTGAGCCCCAAAGGCAAGGGTCTTGAGAGACAGAGTGAGCCCGATAGGAGTCATCCCACCTTCCATGACCTTGGAGTCCCTCTCGCGCCATAGTCTAAAATTGAGGCAGGTGCAAATGCCACCCAGCCCTGACCCCCAGCCCAATTTCAAGCGGAGGGAAAACGGACTCCACCTCTGGGTGGGGGGGGGGGCGGTGGTGATGCTCTGGGAGCACGCGTAGAAGCAGAGATATCCCCGTGCCTTTGGGGGAAAATGCATGCGGCCACAGAGATCTCGCGACGGTGATGTTGTGGGCTCTCCCCGTCAGGAGACTCTATTTCTTTCCATTTCTAATCACGATGGGAGTAGTTAGGGCTACCTCAAATTGCAAACCTCCGGATTCTTGTTCTTTGCTACGTTTAAAATTAAAACAAGAATTCTCCACCATTTTATGGAGAAAACAGAGCACACGTTCATATGGTTTCATAACAAATATTGTTTGTCGGGAGTAAAATAAGATTCTCATTGTTTATGTCAGAAGAGTGTCTTCTTACGCTGATACGTGTTCTGACACTGGTAGGAGACATGATTTTTCAAGAGCTTTCAAAATAAATTCTTCTCTTGCCGTCTGCGCACACATTTCCATCTGTTCGTGGCTGACACGGGAGGCGGTCCAACTTCCTTCAAGGTCATTTGAAACAAACTTTTGTTGCACGGCAGTAAACACTGTCACTTGGTAACAGACTCGTAGAATTTTTGGACGGATGCATTTCGATGCACTTCACCCACCGGCCGTCTTGGATCTGCCTACGGCTTCCCGCTGGCAGCAAGGCAGCTACGGCTGCGAGAGCGAAATCTTGGAAGAGCAGGAAAACCTAAACTAATTAACCCGTGAGACGTGTTCGAGGTTGGCCAGCCCCACCGAATTTGCCTCAACGGTAAAGCCTGGACCTCGCTCTGAGCCACAAAAGGGCACGAGCCTGGACGTGAGCCGCTCGCCTGGCGTCACGCACGATCCGGCTGGTTCATCTCCCCGGATCATACCTCCTGTTCTCAATTTCACTGTTTCCAGCTCCTGCCCCCCGCAGTCCCCTGGCCGACCTGTCCTCTGACACTGCCGGTCCCAGTTCAACAGGCTTCCGTGGCTATCAATTAAAGTCTACACTTCTTCAAGCACAGGGGAGAAAATCTGTCCCTGTATCTGGCTCCGAGTCTCTTTTCTTCACCTGTCCCAACCCCACCTGCTTCTTGGGATCTAACACAAGTGCTCCCGGGCAGTCTGCCCTGATCCCCATGGCCGGAGGGGACGGTCCTGACTCTGGGCCCTCACACTTACCCTCTCTACCTCGTGTGCCCACCGCTCAGGAACACGTCGTTTCACTCTTCAGCCCAGAGCTCCCTGTGGACAGAGGACCCTGCGGGACTCCCCGCAGACGTCATCAGAGCATCTGCCTCCCTCCTCCCGGCACCTCTGTTCCAGGCATGACGCCATCCCTTTCCATGTGCACAGCACTGCTCCCACCAAACACCCTTCCACAGGGACGCCACTGTGCCTCTTGGAACGCGCCGGTCCTTCGCCCTGGACTAAATCCCAGGTCCTCCCCGAGGCCCTCCCACCCTCGTGACACTTCTGGTGTCAGCGTTGTGTACGTGTCCTCCACCATCGAAAGCTGACAGGTGAAACTTCTGTGGCTTTGGTGAAAACATGTCACTTTATGCCATTTTGAAAGATCTGTCTTGCTTCGCTCACTCTCCTGGATCTGCCAAGCCCTGTTAGCGGATGCCCCACGGCCCCACCCATTGCTCTGGGGCCCTGACCCCTGGGGGGCACGTCTCTCTCTGCTTCAAGGGCCGGGCAGGGGTTGGAATTAACACCCCCCTGGAGCTGCCCTCAACGGTCACAGACAGGAGTCCCTGTACAAGTACTTCAGACCCCTCCCCCGTCGGGGGTCTTTTCTAAGGAGCCTGTTTTACATTATCATCTGAGCTTCCCCAGGGATTAGCTCCGGACGCTCACAAAGGAGGCTGCTTTGCTCCCCCATCTCCTCACTAAACCCTGGCCTCCTGCTCCTCAGGTCGGCTTTGCGCCTCAGAGCCCTCATCTCTGGTCCCCTTCTGAGGGGCCCAAACTAGGACACCACGTGTCGACAAAGACCTGCGCATGAGAAGCTATCGTATTTCCCGGTCAGGCTTTCTGTGTAACAAAGACGACCCACCCCCCTCCCCTCTGCAGGTGCTTTTCCTTCCCTGGCCTGCTCCGACCGTGACCTCCAGCTCACATCTGGGCATGTAATCTGGGACCCGCCGCCCAGATCTATCCTCCGCTCTGCCGACTTACATCTTTGCGAAATCCCCGGCCTCAGATCTCCCCCTCCCCGCAGGGAGCAGACCGCCATCCTTGGCTCGGCACTCGAGGCCCCTCACATGCCCTGCTCAGGCCTGCCCTTCTAGCCTCACAGCCTTGTCTGCACTCAGCCTGTGGGGAACAAGGAAGCTCTCTCCTGGAAGGTCCCCACTTCCCAGCAGACATCACCTGGGGTTGTGAGTATTGGATGAGCTGACTTGCCACCTGCTCCGGGAAGTTTCTCTAGCCGGGGACAGGACTTCCTCCTCTGTGGACAGCCCTGCTCTGACCACCTGTGTCCCGGATCTCCTCCGCCGTGTCGCAGTGCCCCGCAGTCTGCAATCACAGAACCACCATCGGCCCCCGGAGGAAGTATGACCACGGCGGTTCCAGACCCGCGGGGCTTCTGGAGCCCGCCTGCGTGGGTTTGAATCCCGGCTCCGCTGCTTAGCTGCTCTGTCACCTAAGTTCTCTGTGCCCGCTTCCTCTGCTGAAAGATTTGGACGGGAACAGAACCCAACTCACAGGCTCGTTCACATGATGCGAAATGTAACACGATGAACGGCGTCTGGTTCACCTAAGAGACATTCACCATTACTAGGAATTACTAGAAACAGTATTATTATTAGTATCGGTATTATATTCCGGAGCAGAGGTCCCCAAAGGGGGACCTGCATTTGTAAAGCTGTTGAGAAAGGGAATCCCCCAAACCTACGAGCTAAAACTTGCTCGAGATGCAGACTGGAGGAAACTAAGGGGGCATGGGCGTTAAATGCAGGATCCTGGACCAGAAAAAGGACATCTGTGGGCTAATTTGCAAACTCTGAGTAAGATCTGTGGCTGATTAATTGTACCGCGTCAGTGTTAATTTCCTGGCCTAAGGTTAACTCAGAACAAAACGCTGTAAAACTTTTCCTAGGACAGAGGATCAAAGGGCTCCCCTAGTGAGCGCCCCTGCCTGGTGACCGCCCAGAGGCCAGCACAGAGCCACTCCAACATGGCGGGACAGGCTCCCTGGGAAATCTATATGTGCCCGGTAGGCAGGGCCATTTAGTCCTGGGTGGCTCCCGCAGGACCTGGTGGGCACACACAGGCTCAATAACAGATGGCATTTGTTTAAATGAACTTAATCAGCCCTTCCCTCTGAGCGCTCCCGAGACCGCTTTCAGTAGATGTCCTCAGAATATTGACCTCTTCCCCAAGATCTAATGGGTCTATTTCAACTCGCTACTGCACCTCAGAACACAGAAGAGCACTTTGGACCCCTCCCCGCCCCACCTCCTCCTATACTTATGTGGCTCACCTGGAGAGACTTCTAGAAGAAAACTGAAAGCAGAATGTTTAGTTACCAGTTTCTTTTCAGTGCCGCAAATCATCATAGCCTCAGTGGAGACAGGAAATATTCCTTTAGAAAAACACGGGGCCGCCTGGGTGACTCAGTCCACGGAGCGACTGACTTCGGCTCGGGTCAAGATCTTGCAATTAACGAATTTGAGCCCCGCATCGGGCTCTGTGCTGACGGCTCGGAACCTGGAGCCTGCTTCTGATTCTGTGTCTCCCTCCGTCTCTCCGCCCCTCCCTGGCTCACACTCTGTCTCCCTCTCAAGAATAAATAAACATTAAAAAAGAAAAAAATAAAAACTCAGACTTAATGTTGTGGGAAGCAAGAAAATTGTGCCATCAATGCCACCGACCATTCCAGGAGGCACGTCGGTGGTCTGGAGCAGGAAGCGCTGATGAAGGGGGGCAGGGAAAGTGTTCTGACCAAATCATGTGGCCCCTAAAAGCAAGCCCTGGGGCCCTGGAAGAGGAATAAAGAGGTCACCACCGTCACTACAATCTAGGGTTTTATCCCTGGAAACGCAGCAAGAGCTGCAGGGTGAGCAGCCGTGTATGAGGTCGGCGTCAGAGAAGCCCCCTCACCCACGTGGCCACGTCTGACCACACTCCCCCCCTCGTCTGTGTCAGAGAAGCTCTCTGGGCTTCAAATGGGCGTCTTTCTTGGGCCTGTGCCCTTGCCCCGAACTTGATCCTCTCAACAGATTTCCCGCCCATGCTCCGCGCCAGGGCCTCTCAGCCCCCGCGCATGGGATCTGACGCCGCTCACCGCGTTCCAGCATCCTAGTCACGTGGCGAAGGGTGGACGTGGGTGAACCAGGGTCTGTGACCTGGTGGAGGAGGAGACAGTGTCCATCGCGATCTCCAGAAGGGAGTAAACTGCCCGCCTTTCGGCATGTTCGTTCAACACCCCTGACTCTCGTACCGACTCGGGTGCCAAGGGGCCAGATGAGCAACGTGACCCAGAGGCAGGCGGAGCCGGGTCCCTCGAGGTCAGGCGAAGAGACAGCGGCAGCAGAACGCCACCGTGACTGCCACCAAAGCCCACAGGTAACCCCAGTCTGCCAGGCTAGGGCCCCGTGCCCGATGGGGAAGCCCAGAAGAGGCATCCGGAATTGAAGGGGGACCGTGATGGCTTTCACACCGCCCTACAGGGGTGACATGAAGGGGGCCCCAGACCCAGCGTCCGCGCTGCAGGCCCCAGGGCTCTTCTCCCAAAGCAGCCGGCACCCTTCCGGGACAGCTTCGCGATGGCCTCCCTCCTGCGTGGCGCCCATCACAGCCTCTTACTGCCACACTGTCCTCTTGAGGAACGCGGAATTTACCGGATGCCTCCTGTGCTTTAATATCCTGACATGAATGGGAGCATCAAGGCAGAGGGCACTCAGCTGAGAGCTCTAACGGCTGCCCACCTGGAGAGACGGGACCACAGGGAAGGCCAGCGTGACCCAGAGCACCTTCCTGAGAACGGGCACCCAGTCCCCCGTGGCCTCCTCTGAGCACTGGACACCCCCATGAGCCCCACAGGTCTGACCCCTCCCTTTCCCCTTAGAGTAAAATCCAGACTCCTCACAAAATCCAGCTGGACGGCGAGCCCCTGGCCTCCCCTCCCAGCCCACAGGCCTCCCTGCCTCCCTCCTGACTCGGGGCCTCCGTGTCTGTTCTCTGTTCTCTCCTCCGGCCAGAAGGTCCTTCCGCCCCTTGAATTCTGCAAGTCTCACCTCAGAGGACTCGGCCCCCAAGAAGCCTTTCTGGAAAGTACTTCCCAACACCCCTGTGCCCCACCCCCCCACCACCCGGTCACTCTCGCGACAGCATGACGTGACTATTGAAATAGCGCGCTTACGGGTACATTTAGCATTTTATGATCTGTCTCCACAAGGCAAGTCGAAGTTCCGGGTAGGGCAGGGCCGCGCTCCTGCTGTTCCCTGCACCCCCCTGCACAGTGTTTTAACAAACCTGTGACCCCGACGGTCACCTTGGGGGAATCTCAATGGGTCAGGCTCTGCTCACAGCACGCAGCTCGCCTGTGACAGAGTGACAGGGTCTCCCACGTAATGGGCACCCCAGGGCTCAATCGTGTCCATCGGAGCCCGGCTGCGGGCCCTTCCCACCTCCACCTCAACACGGACCCCCCGCCGGCACAGGTACCCGCTGCCCATCCGCCAGGGAGAACTGTGCCAACGTCTCCTGGCCTTGCGCCTTCACGGCCTCCACCGCCCGCCAGCCTCTGTGTCCGATGCCAACCCATCCTCTGTGGTCTTCCCTCGGCACAGCCACACCTGCTCCAAGGCTCCCTCCAGCCTTGCTCTGCAGGCGCCCGCTCGCGTAGGAGTCATGACCGCTCTGGGGCTCCCTCACTCGAGGAGAAAAGCAGCGAAAATAAGCCACTTAACGTGACGCTGCTGCTCCGTGCTCAGAGGGGAGGGGAGGGTCTCCTTCCTGACTCAGGAGATGGACCCGCTGCCCCCAGGGGAGCAGTGGATGCCCCACCTCTCACCCCGAATCTCATGAAGACGCTGAGTACTTCCCGCTAGGAGTCACCCCAGGGCCGCTGCACGAGGCTGCTAAAATCGCGACTTTGTGCTTTGGTGTCGAGCCCAGAAACATAAATGGGGCGTCAGGGCAGGTGGACCCCGTTATCTGGCTGTTCCGCGTCCCGCCACAACTCGGGAGGACGCAGGTTTGTGAGTTCGTGGACAGCACATCGAGAGGCAGGTCCCGGCCTCCCCGAGTCTGGGTGGAACTAGCAACTGCCCGGACAGAGGACGGCCGTGGCATGGTCACCCCGACACTTGCTCAGAAACGGCCCCTGCAGAACCTGCTGGTCCTTCCTGGGAGCCTGCAGCCCAGGGGCAGGTGAGAAGGTCCAGCTACGGTCAAGGACTGGGGAGGGACCCACCGAGGAGCCCCGTGGTCCCAGCCCCGTGCCTGCATGTGGACCAAGACCCCGCCATTACCTCACACACTAACTGACGCTGTGACAGTGATGAGGGACCACAAGGCAGGCCGAGGCCCAGCACAAGCTAGCATCCCCGGACCCCAGGTGGGATATGGGTGACATTCCTTCCTCAGGCACTCCAGGCTGCCCAAGGACAAAAGGGAAAAACAAATGGTTGAGAGAGATCACGGTCATACAGGACATGAGTCTCCATCAGGTTACACATATCTTGTTAGTAAATTACAAGGCAAAGGCGGTCTTATCAACGGCTTCATCCCTACAAACCTGTAGACTCAGTTTCCCGGAGCCCCCACATCACCCTCCCCTCCACAGGGATGGGGGAACACAGGCCAGAAGGAAACAGCGGCTGAAACCGAACATCCTCGTGACCTGCAGCCCGCAGACAAATGCTCGAGGCAAATACGGAGCAGAGCATTTGTCCAGGAGCCCCGCCCCTCCTGGTGGTAAGGCCTTAGTAGAGGGAAACAACTTTGACAGCAGCGAGGCCCCTGGCGCCCTCTGGGTCCTCTTTAGCGTATCAAGTCCTTCTAGAAACCTCCGTTTTGCCTTTACCTCCCCACCTCTACAGTAGAGAAGGAGTCACTCCTCACGACCCCAGCGCAGCTCTTCCCGCCCACAGGTATGTCCCCGTGCTTCAATAAAATCACCTTCTTTTGCACCAACGATGTCTCGAGAATTCTTTCTTGACCATCAGCTGCGAACCCCCATCACCCCAAAACCCCATCAACAGTTCAGCGTCATGGGAAGGAAGGATTTGGGCCTTAATCTGAAGGCTTCAGGCCCCGGAGGGACGTAGCCAGAACTGTGCCATTGACGAGGTCTCTCTGGTCCCGGTGGGGAGCAGGGCTTTGTGGAGGGTGGATGGGAATTCAGGGAACATGCTGAGCTCAGCAGGGACACCCAGCAGGGCCACCTGTCACGGCTCATTTCCCGGGAGAAAGGCTTTCTGGCTCGCCGGTCACAGCCAGTGGTGCCGACATCGGACGGTCAGCACTCTGCTGCTCTGAGCTGGGTGCCCGGAGGGGCAAGGCCCTCACTGTGTGCGTCGGCTCCTCCCAGGGCCGGCACAGACACGAGGGAAACACCCGGACCACAAGGACCCGGCTCGCGCCCGCTGGGTCCATACCTGGATTCAGAGCCGTCTTATCTGCGGGCTGTGCAGTAGGGGCATCTCTTCGCCCAGGGGAGCTGGACGGGGCGGGGGAGAGCCCACAGGCTGGGATTATGGGGGCTGCCAGGAGGGGACGGGGGCTTCTGGGAGACTGGGGCTCGGGGATCCACACCCTGAGAGGTGCTGCAGGGAGGGTGGAGGTTCTAGGGGCTTCTATGTGACCCAGGAGCACACACACTGACCAGAGCAGGGGCCCTGTCCTCCTTCCTGCTTGGGGCCGGGTGGCCCCAACTCAGTGAAGTCTACACCCATCTCATGAGGGCAGGCAGCTGGGTGGGCCTCCCCCCACACAGGTGGGGTCCTGCCTGCATCAGAGCCCAGACAAGCTTCACGGGCAATTGGGGAGACATGAGATGGCTTCTGTGGGTTCTCATGAGAGTCTCCCCAGAAACTCCAGGAACAGCTGGGGGGGGGGGTCTTAAATAAGGCTGGGGTCTCTCCTTGTGCAGCTGGTGACACAGGTCAGGAAATGTCATCCCAGGGAAAGGCAGGGGTGTCGGGGAACAGCCAGGAGCCACACGATGTCCCCCTGACAAGACAGGAGCAGGAAAGGAAACACAGGGCTGTCCGGACTCCCCCAGTGTGGGAGGGGGCTGAGTGGGGGAAGGCCCTCTGCCCCTTCTCCGGAGGACCAGCCCCCCCATCGCCCCTCGACATGATGTTCTGTGATGTTCGGTTGACCGAGACTTACCAGTGCCCCCTGTAGGCAGCACAAGCCAGCAGGGGAGGGGACCAGATGGAGGCGGCGGTTCCAGGGGCTCCAACGGCAGAGTTTGCAGATGACACAGGGAGACACGCCATCGCATCCGCATCTTCACACGGGTTCAAAGACACAGACATCGCACGTGCTGAGGGAGGACAATGCAGTTTAGAGTTTTGAACACATTCCATGGGGCGCCTGGGGGGCTCAGTCGGTTGAGCATCTGACTTGGGCTCAGGTCATGATCTCGCAGTTTGTGGGTTCGAGCCCCACGTCGGGCTCCGTGCCGACAGCTCGGAGCCTGGAGCCTGCTTCAGCTGCTGTGTCTCCCTCTCTCTGCCCCTCCCCTGCTCACACTGTCTTTCTCTGTCTCAAAAAAAATAAAAAATAAAAAATAAAAAAAAAACATGATCTGAGCAGTTGCTACATGAGATTCTCTGGGTCTCTGCTCCGTGAAACCTTGTTAAAATGACAGGACCACCAACTTGAGTGCTTGAGTCACCAGGCAGGGAAGTGGGGGCACTGAGCCCCACACAACCCACTTCCCCGCACCCCTGCATGGACCAGGTCCTGATGTAGAGGAGCACAGAGAACTGGTCCGCAGGGCAAGCAGCTCCAAGCATGTGGGGCACATGGACACAAGACCAGACCAGGGGACCAAAGTGCAGGTTCCCCACCCCTGCCCTCAGACGTGCCCTGTGGGCATCTGGACCCTGCATGTTAACTACCAGGCCGTCCTCCAGGTAATTCTGAGGCAAGCGATCCAGCAGACAGAGTTGGAGACGTGGTAAAATAGAACCCGCGGTTTTCAAACTTCCGTGAGGACGATCTCGTAAGAAACCAGTGTTATGGTCCCACATCCAAGACCTTCACACTCGTACAAACACAACAGAAGCTTCCTGGGGCTCATCCTGTGCTGGGCCCTCATCTATTTTGTGCTGTTTTTATTCCATTTCTTTTCTAATTAATTTATTTTGAGTGAAAGAGCGAGGCGAGGCGGGGAGGGACAGAGAGAGAGAGAGAAAGAATCCCAAGGAGGCTCCGAGCTGTCAGCACAGAGCCCGACGCGGGGCTTGAACTCACAAACCATGAGATCACAACCTGAGCTGAGATCCAGAGTGGGTGCTCAACTGACCGAGACCCCGGGCACCCCTGTTCCATTTCGTTCCTTAAATGCTGCCCTTGCCCCTAGTTGGCTACTGCAAACCGTAAACCGGGGGAAACCAGCCAACACTGAAAGGGATGATGCCCAGCTCTCCGCCCCCTTTACAAGAAAACCCCAACTAGACGTCCTGACACGTGGCTGGCGCCCCCGGGGGAGTGGGCTCGGAGCCGGAGCCGAGGTCCCCAGAGAGCGGCGGCCGCAGGGTCGGAGCCCGGAGCCCGGAGCCCAAGGAGCAGCTGTGTCTCCTCTGAGGTGCAGCAGCGGGGAGGGGGCGGGAGGCAGACCCAGCAGGTGGACCAGGCTGTGCCCTGTGACTCTCTCGCTGGGCCCTCGAGTCATCAGCGGACTGAATGAGCCAAGCCAGTGCTTGACGGAGGGGCTTTTTTGCACCATTAAGGAGCCCAGCTGCATTTCTGGTAAGAGGACAGTTCCAAGAGCAGCCTTGGTGGGGGTGGGGGTGGGGGGTGGGGGGTGGCAGAGATGGGCCCCTGACCTGGGGTTGACTTTTTCTTTCTAGGTTAATCTGACAAAACTCTCACTTCACAGGTGGAAAGCTCTTCCTGTAATTTCAAAGCTAAGTTGGGACTGAGAACGAAGCTCACCGATCCCGGGGGGTGTCCCCGGCCCCCTCTTGGGACGCAGCACCCAGAGAGGAAGGCACCCATCACCTGCCCCGAGGCCCCGGCCCCGGCTCGGGCTCCCCTGTCTGCTCCTTGCTCTCCTTCGGGGGTAATGGGGGTAGGAGAGGAGCTGCGTGTGGCACGCTGGGGTCTGTGTCTCTCAACAAGACGGTGTCCCCCTCCTGTAAGGGTACATGTCACAACAGCCACTCGCATATGAAGTCACAGAAACAAGGCCGCTGTGACCTTTGGGCTCACCTGGGGGGGGGGGACAGAGGGAGGGGGGCCTGAGGGAGGACAGAGGGAGGACAGAGGGAGGAGGGCCTGAGCACCTGTCACTGAGTCCTGCCTGCTGGGGGGCAGGCACATGGCCCCCCTTCCGCGTCTCCCTGCAGGCTCACCGTGTCATACAGGCACCGAAGTCGAGGAGCCCGTGCTTGAACAAAGGACACGGAGAGCAGTGACATCGAGCCACGGTGCAGTGACACTGACAACGGCTCGTTCCCCACCCCTGATGGAAGCCCCTGGGCACCACCTGACGGGGTTATTTTGGGTTCTTTGCAGCAAATAATTGCTTATTCCTCGGGCTGCACCCCACACTGTCGCGTCCGTGGTGTTTAGAACCGCACGTTTCATAAACCGGCAAAAATACAGGTGACTTGGAAAAAAATCGGTAATTCTATTTACAATCTCAAATGAATCCAGTGGAATGTTGTTAAAGTCCCCCTGTTATGGGTGTAGCGTGTCAGCAGAGACGGAGAGACGCAGACCCCGGGGCCACTGCGGCCAGCACCCAGGAGTGGAGAAAAGGGCCAAGTTACACTGGCCGCGTGCCAACGGCTGACGTGAACAATTGCTGAGGGGGACGTTACCGCCACATCAAAATCCTCCGTATGCTGCACAGACAGTAATGTGGATTTAAAATTTTTTTTTTCAACGTTTATTTATTTTTGGGACAGAGAGAGACAGAGCATGAACGGGGGAGGGGCAGAGAGAGAGGGAGACACAGAATCGGAAACAGGCTCCAGGCTCTGAGCCATCAGCCCAGAGCCCGACGCGGGGCTCGAACTCACGCACCGCGAGATCGTGACCTGGCTGAAGTCGGACGCTTCACCGACTGCGCCACCCGGGCGCCCCAGTAATGTGGATTTAAAAACGCTCCCTAACACACTGCTTCCTGGGCACCAATCCTCACTTCCCACGGGCGCTCCTGACCAGATCCCTCGGACTCCTGGGGACAGGAAAGAGCCACAAGGGGGTCCCGTCTCGTTGGCTCTCCTGGTCCCCAAGACACAGCTTCCTGCGTGGCTCCTACAGACACCCCTCACGTTCCAGCTTTTCGAGGTGCACGCAGTCCAGACCCCCACCTGGCCTGGGCCAAAAGCACACAGCGTGCGGAGTGGAAAACCTCGCAGCCCCAGCTGCATCACCACGGGCCACGGTGTGGCTCGCGTGGGCCCTACGTGCTTTTGCATTTGTGAACCCCCTCCCCCATTAAAACGTTATTAAAAATTAGGGGCTCCTGGGTGGCTCAGTTGGTTAAGCTCCAACTTTGGCTCAGGTCACGATCTCACAGTCCATGGGTTCGAGCCCCACGTCGGGCTCCGTGCTGCCAGCTCAGGACCTGGAGTCTGCTTCCGGTTTTGTGTCTCCCTCTCTCTCTACACCTCCCCTGCCCATGCTCTCTCTCTCAAAAAGAATAAATGTTAAAAAAAAAAAAATCATGTTAGTGTCTGTACAGTGACCCGAACTGTATTTCAACGAGCAAAATTACCACTTGGAGGGGGTAAGGGGCGCAGGGAACAGAAGTTACGTTACTGGAGTGACTTACTGTAGGTAAATGGATGTTGTGCTCCAGTTAGCGGATTTGTTTTCACTGGGGCTCATGGGGTCACCAACTCCAATGCAACTTTAGCTCTATTCTAGCACCGAGCAAATGAGTTAATTCCGTAAAACCTTGGATTGCTGTTCTGTGAGTGTTCCGCAAGACGAGCAAACATTTCTAA